ATTAGGGAGAACTGACATCTTAACCATATTGAGTGTTCAATCCCGTAAACATGATATATCTCTTAAATTATTTACTTTTGCTTTTGTTTTCCCACTTTTTTCCATAAGATCTGTTGCTAATCTTCCTCCTTTTTTCTCCTTTTCTTTATCCTCCAAAGCTCCACTACATAATTGTGTATAGTTGTGAGTTCTGGTTCTTCTAGCTGCCACCACAGCATGGCTACTGACAGATGAGTGATGTGCTTCTGTGCCTGGGAACTGAAGCTGCAGAAGTGGAGGCACTAGGCCATCAGGGCTGGCTCCCCAGTAATGTTTGAAATGTAGAAGATTTACGGTTCCAGAAAATTTGTTCATATTTTATTTTTAATATTGTAAATGTAATTTTAAGAATTACATTTTTAATATTATAAACGTAGTTTTTCAAAATTACATTTCACTTTTTTGCTGCAAGTATAAAGAAATGTACTTGATTTTTGTATATTAATTTTATCTTCTGAAACTATACTAAGTTGCCTTGTTCATTCTACGTCTTGCTTTGTAGGTGTCTTACAGTTTTCTGTAAACAACTATATGATTGCAAATACAAGATTTTATTTCTGCTGGTCTATTTTTATTTTTATTTTTTGTTTATTTTCTTATCTTGTTGCACTGACTAGGACCTCAAGGAAGCTGTTGAAAGGAAGTGATGAGAACAAATGTCTTTGTCTTATTCTTGACCATTGGGAGAGCATATTCAATGTTTTACTACAACTATAATGTCAGTGTAGGATTTTTGTAGATGCCCTGTATGAGATTAAGGGAATATCCTTCTGATCCGACTTAGCTGAGTGAGAAATTGTATCATTAACCATGGTTGAATGTTTTTAAATGACTTTTATGCATCTATTGATTTGGTAACATGACTTTCTTAATTTCGTTAATGTAGCGCATGGCATATATAAATTTTTGAATCTTGAACAAATCTCTCATTCCTAGAGTTACCTCTCCTTGGTGGTGATATATTATACTCTCTCTATTTTCACGTACTTGATTTGCTCATATATTTTTAAGGGTTCTTGCATCTATGTTCACGGGGGATATTAATCTGTAGTTATTTCTTTTGGAAATGTCTCTGCCAGGTTTTGTCATCAGGGATTTTGTGTCCTCATGAAACAAATTGAGAAGAGTTCTCTGCTCTTCTGTTTTCTGAACATACATATGCAAGAGTATTATCCGTATTATTGTTGTATTATTTCTTCCTTAAATGATGGATAGAATTCACCTGTGAAGTCATCTGATATGTAGATTGTTTTTTTGGAAGGTTTTCCTGATGAAGAATTTAATTTATTTAATAGGTAGTGGGCTATTCATATTTTCTATATTGTCTTTGGTCCAAATGTAAGGAAGTCATATTTTTCAATAAATATCTCTGTTTAATCTAATTTATCAAATTTGTTTGTATACAATTGTTTCTACTAGCCACTTAATATTTTATTTTTATTTTAATTCTATAGTCTGTTAGGTGATATCACTTCTTTCTTTCTTGATATTGACATTTGTTTCTCTTTTTTATCTTAATCATTCTTCCTAAGGTTTTTTTTCATTAATATTTTCAAATCACCAATTTTAACACTCTTAATTTGCTCTCTTTTCTATTTTTTAGCTTTATTAACATTCACTCTTTTAGCTCTATTAATTTCCTCTGTTTTCTCTTTGTCTTAATTTTCTCTGTTTCCTGTTCTGTGGAATTACTGTTTCCTTCCTTCTTGTCACTTTGATTTTAATGTACTCTTTTTCTCATTTCTCAAGTAGAAAATGAAAACGTGGTTTTAAACTCTCCTACTTTTTAAGTATAAACTTTAAAACTACACTTTTCTTTCTAAATACTGATTTAGCTGTCTCAAAAAACTTTTTATTCATTTTATTTTCATTTAATTCTGTATGTAATATTTTCTGACATTCCTTTTGATTTTTTCTTAATCTTGTCAGTTATTTAGAAGTTTCTTCTTTAATTTCCAAATATTTATGTTTTTCTAAATAATTTATTACCTTTTAACGATGTATTGTGTTATGGTCATTATATAAAGAAGTGCACATATTTAATGTATACAATTTAATGAGTATCATGAATGTTTGCATAGATAATTGATTTATTTATCTCTAATCTAATTCTATTGTCACAGAACTTACTGTAAAAGATTTCAATATTTTGAAATGTATTCATGCTTTTTTTGTCACATGGCATATTTTCAATCTTTGCAATGTTGTAAAACGTTGCATGAAAAGTGTTGAAAAAATATTTTAATGTGAAAATCTATGCATACTCTTGTTATTTGATCAGTTTAAAGTGGTTCATGGTGTTCTTCTAATTTACGTATGTCTTCTTAAACTTTTTTGTCTGGTTGTTTATCAGTCAGAGAAAGAAGACTCTCAGTGTTGCTAACCAGGATGGTGGATTTGCCTATTTCTTCCTTTCGTTCTGTCCATCTTTGCTCCATGTATTTAATGCACTTTTTAGATACATATAACTTTATGATCAATCTGTCCATGTGAATTACCATTTTTATAATGATCAAATATTTATTGACTATTTTTGTAATACTGCTTGTCTTGAGGTCTATATTATTTTACTTTAATAGTCAATTATTTTAAAACAATTAATTATTTCCATGTGATAAAAGAATTCCCAAAGGATTTCAAATAATTAGTGTCCTCAAACCAGTCTCTCTAAATTAAAAGCAAAAATAAAATAAATAAGAACTAGCTACATACCTTATTCGTCCATCTTAAAAATCTGGAAAATAAAAAGATTACCCTTTATCAATGATTAACCAACAGAAAATCTTTTAAATAAAATGGCAATGGTAGCACTACACATTGAACTCTATGGGATACAGCAAAGGCAGATATTTATAGCTTTAAAACATGCATTATAAAATTAAGAACAAAATAAAAGCAATAAGTATTACAATCTAGAAGTTAGAAAAGAATATAAACCCAAAGAATATCAAAGATTATTAGGAGAAGCTTAAAAATGCATAAAGAGTTGATTTGCAGAATAACAATTCAGCTTTTAGGGAAATTTAGTAGATGGACCAATCTTTGGCAAAAACTTATCAGGAAGTTCAACCTAAGATTCTGCAGACAAAGACAGCTAAATCTTAGATACAGAAGAAAATAAATCCTTGAGAATATAAAGAAAATAATGCCAAAATATTTAAAATAGATATATGAGAAAATGTTTTTGATAGAATATAAAATAGTCCTATTGACTTGAGAGAAGTATGGCAATATTTCTGATAATCTTAGTAAGCCTGAATGAAGTGTATTCAGTCAATTATTTGCCTGATGTGAATAGGAAATGTTGCACAATTGAAAGGATTTACAAGACTTCCCAGTATATCCTTGCATAATGAAATAAAGATACAGCATGAAATTTTATCATTTCATCAATATTTCATTCTTTCATCAATGTTTTCATTATTTTGAAATTCATTATCTTTATTGAAATAAAAACACAGTATGACAAGAGAAAGTGAAAGTAATAAATTGTAGAGAGGTCATAAAGCTTCCAGGGATAGTCATCCAGAGTCTTCCCTTGTTTGAACAAGACATGCTTTGTCTTCAGATTAGGAACTGCCAAGATACATCTGAGGTATCTCAGTTTTATGGGCGCTAAGACACAAGTTTACAAAGGGATATTTTATAACCTACTTGTTAGGTAACTGTAGCCAAGCCATCTAACCTGTTCAACTGGGTACATTATATCCATCTCTATATCCCTTAACAATGTAGGCAAGCTGATAAACAGTACCTCCAGGGGAGTTTTGAACTTTTAACAGCACACTATAAACCACTAGTGAACATGTCTACTTCTTATCTAGGCCAAGAAGCTCTATCAAATTAATTGATCACTAACTAAATGTGATTCTTCCTCTGGCTAATCAGCCTCCATTGGTAGAACATCTTTCCAGGGTTTTAATCTAATCACAAAATATTTGATCACCAATATCCATAAAAAGATCCCATTATCAGTCTTTAGTGCTTAGTATTGAATGAGTAATTAAGTTAGAACCACCTAATTGTTAAAAGTAATCAAACTAGGTTTTACATAAATTATGCAGGATTGATCATAGAAAGAATAAAAGGAAGAAACTCCAAGGAAGACCATGAGAATATAAAGCAAACCTGGTAGATTAAAGGGCTATCCAAGCTGAAAGGTAAACATATTGAAACATAGATTACAACACTATTAGTTGATCATTTATGGTACATTATTATTGAGTTTCGTATTTACTGAATTATCTTGTTAATATTTTTAACAAGATTTTTAATCAAGAAATCTAAATTTAATCTTTTTAGAAGTACAAATGCAATTGTGCCCACCTCCACCTCAGATTCCCAATGCTCAAGATATGACAACTACAGTGAATTATCAGGATGGAGAAAAAATATCTATTCTCTGTAAAGAAGAGTATCTAATCCAGAGAGGAGAAGAAATCGTGTGCAAAGACGGCAGATGGCAGTCAATACCACGCTGTGTGGGTCAGTCGTGTGTAAGCTGTTTCATGACATTCTCTCAAATAAGCTGATACTCCTCTGTGTTTTGTGTAAATGAACAAGATGAAGGCCCTTCTCTGTATCTATTCCACTTTATCTTGAAACAGTGAATTACAATCTAGGTATACAAAGCAATCAGCATTCTTTCACTTCTAATGTGAAAAGAATACAGACAAAAACTTTGGGTTACTGTGTAAATACTGGATAAAATTTCTGTTCAGGCCTATTTTACTCCTCAGGATGAACAGGACAAGAATCAAGGGACACATTGAAGAAGTGGCCTGTAGCATAGATTTTTATGGAGACTTACACCCTTGCAAGTTTCAAATGTTTTTCAGTTTTTAAATAATTTAATTTGTTCAAATTATCCTTATTATAAAGCCCCAAAGAGTATTTGACTTTCTTTGGCAATTTAAACATTATATTTGTGGTTGACTCCTTGATCTCTTTTCTTCATATAGAAAAAACCCCATGCTCTCAACCACCTCGTATAGAACATGGTACCATTGAATCATCTAAATCTACAGAAGAAAGGAAAGAGAGATCTGAACCCAAGCGTTATGCACATGGCACCAGATTAAGTTATATTTGTGAAGATGGTTTCAGGTTGTCTGAAGGCAATGGGATAACCTGCAACATGGGAAAATGGAGTTCTCCACCTCAGTGTGTAGGTAAGGACAGTACACAAACTGAAATCCTATTTTCAGAAGAATTCATTAAAAATAATCGGTTGTCACATTCTGTCATGAGCCAGAATCCTTTCGATTTCTAAATATACAAAATCATTTATACATTTATCTATCTTTTACCAAATAATTTTTGCATAATCAAATCAGCCTTATTTCTGTTAATTTCATTGGTTCGCTGTTAAATCACTTTTAATTCTGGCTTTTTTGGTATTAAAAATGGATGTATAGTGAAATTAAACCTATCTATGTATTGGTATACCTACTCATATTCTTACCTATTCAGGTAAGTTATAGTGTTTGCTTTGCCTCCAGGTTTTAAAAAAAATTTCTTATGTTCTCCCTACAACATCCCTTCTGATTTCTTACGGTAAATAGTACTTTTCTGAAGAGGATTAATTCTCAATTTGTTTGCTTTTATTATTCACGATTGGTTAGAGAAGCATTGATAGTCTTTCGTACATATATTGACACTTTTAGTTTCAAGTTCTTGCTCAAGTTGACAGCTGGACACACCCCAGAACGGTAGTTTCAGGAAAGATTTGTGCATCTTCTCTGTAATGTGATGGTAGCTCCTGTGTGATCATGTCTTGTAAATTAAAACTACCACATATAATAACTGGTACATAGGGGCTGGCCCGGTGGCCGAGTGGTTAAGTTCGCGCGCTCCGCTGCAGGCGGCCCAGTGTTTTGTTGGTTCGAATCCTGGGCGCGGACATGGCACTGCTCATCAGACCACGCTGAGGCAGCGTCCCATATGCCACAACTAGAAAGACCCACAAAGAAGAATATACAACTATGCACTGGGGGGTTTTGGGGAGAAAAAGGAAAAAATAAAATCTTAAAAAAAAATAACTGGTACATAAAAAGTTAGTGAAACATGGAGTCATTCTTTCATTTCTTTTATTTTTTTTTAAAGGAATTCCTTGTGAACCACCAGCTTTGATTCCACACGGTGTTCTAGCTCACAAGTTAGACAGTTACCAATATGGAGAAGAAGTGATGTACAGCTGTACCGAAGGTTTTGGGATTGACGGACCTGCATCTATAAGATGTTTAGGAGGAAAATGGTCTGATCCGCCACCATGCATAAGTATAGTGCATTTCATTTTATCGTAAAACTGACAAATATCTTTAATTTAGAGCATAAATGGTACAAATATGAAACTAAGGAGTAGTTATGAACTTAATAAGGTATCTCTGGAAAGATCTGGATTCTGGTAGAGATGAATAATCCAGGTAATAAGAAGAGTTTGACAACATGAGCCAAATTATTTCATTCTCACGTCCTCTTGTGTGTGCTTGTGACATCTCTGATCTACATTCTCAGACTTTTCATTTCTGTTCCTGTATCACAGCTGGCCCCTGCTGATCAGTCTCATTATTATTCTACTTACTGTTACTTTTCCAGTTATCTCCTTATAAATATAGAATTTTCTAAGATATTTGACATAATTAGTCTTAACAGATTTTGATGGAAGCACAAGGTAGAAATATGTCCAAAATGCCAGTGGCCTCTATGGGCAAATAAGAATTCAAATGTAAGAAGTATGGTCTCAAGCATTACATGTGTCCATATCTCTTCATAGTTTCAAAATCACTATTTCAATGTTATACTTTTGATGAATGTAGAACCATTCAATGTAATTAAGTCAAAACTGCTAACATTTTTTTTCAAGTGAAGAAAAATATTGTACAGTATTCTTTGGTTTGATATGTAGCTAATTATTACTCTAGAATAATTATTGGCCTTTATATATTTTTAATGATTTACTGAACAAGTACATTTTTTTTTTGTTTCAGAAACGGATTGTCTTAGCTTACCCATCTTTAATGATGTCATACTCATAGGCCAGAAAAAGGAATCATATAGGTCAGGAGAACAAGTGGCTTATAAATGTCCAGAATATTACCAATTGGATGGATCCAGTTTTGTCCAGTGTGTTAACGGCAAATGGATAGGAAGGCCAACATGCAGAGGTATTTCGATGAAATTTTAAAATTTATTTATGAAAGTGCCTGAAGTAAAATAATATAGAATTCCCTCTAGCATCATCATAAAGTGGACGTAGATTATTTTTTCAGGCTGGGATTTCAGGCCAAAGAAGGTTCATGCCTTAACGTCAAAGGATGGAATTGTGTACTCAATAGTTAGTCTTATAGCTCAGTAGTTCTCCACGTGCGGTCCCTGGAAGAGCAGCATCAGCATCTTCTGGGAAATTGTTGGAAGTGCAAATGCAAATTCACAGGCGTAGTCAGACCTGTTGAATCACAAACTCTGGGGTCAAGGGGCTCCATGCACACTTTGGGTTAGGAACCGTCGCCATAGCCAATTATACATTATATCTACCTGAATCTCACTGATAAATTACACATGACTCATTGTAGTATCCTTAAGCATTTGCCCCCCAAAAGTCATTGAATAGTGTTTTTATAAATCATACAGTTATTTTTCTGTTGTTTTTCTACACCTCCTGTTTGGATCCTTTAATTAGTAAACTTCTTCCTTCAACAATGATATTCTTCAAAGTGTTTTCATGCTTGACTTATTCTCTAAGTAAGTGTCTACTTGTGTTTATTTTTCTAGGGGCTTAAAACTACAATTCACATATAGGATGGTTGCAAGCCAAATTCTGCTATCAAAATTCTATTTATTATGATTTTCTTGTGGTTTATAAATTCATTTTTAATTTATATAACGAGAACTCAAAGGGAAATGTTCAGAAAAACTCATTTTCATTGCCCTCCGTACACACACACAAATATCTATCAATCTTCTAGTAAAGAATCGGGGAGAGATTTAAGGTAGAGAAGCTTAAGTCGTCCTAAAAAAATATTGCTTTCTCTCCTTTTCCTCAATCTTACATGTAAATTTATTAAAAGAATCAATCTTTTATGACAGATTGATTAATTTGAAACCCCTCTGGAAATATAGTTGGAATCTCATTTGTTGATTTGCTACTCAAAATGATCATTACCTTGGAGATACTTTTTTCCTTCTCTATTCAGATGTTTCCTGTAAGAAACCACCTGAAGTCAAAAATGCCATTACCTCAAATCATATGTCTAGGTATCCATCTGGGGAGAGAGTACGTTACGAATGCATCAAACCTTTTTATCCATTTGGGGAAATATATGTGACATGTTTGAATGGAATCTGGACAGACCCACCTCAATGCAAAGGTAGAATGTCTTATTTTACCCCCAGTGTTAGAGTATATCTTAGGGACAAAATACCTTGATTTAAAGGGAGAATGAAGCAGTTCTTATGGAATAAATTTTGTAAACACAAATAAAATGATGATGCTTAAAATCCAGTTCCTTTTGTGGATGGACTAAGTAATAAGGCATATTTATTTGATGAAAGATTTGTCCAGATTAGAAGAACAATTGGAATCCCAGATAATTCCCTATCTTAACCATTAAGATGCTCAGTTACTTGCCGAGGAATAAATGTAATCAAGATACCCTGAGTACCTTTGACAGCCCTTTGAAATTCTACTTTGAGACGTGAAATAGGCAGTGGGGCAGGGGTGAGAATCATAGAATGTGAACTAAATTTGGGTTTCTTTAGCATATGGATTCTATTTAAATGTATTTTACTAGTAGAGCTCATCTGTGATGTTAGTGTAACTATGTAAAAAATAAATAGTCTGAGAACTTGGTCACGGGACACTCCAGTGTTCACAGTTCAGAAAATAAGGGGAGCCAACAAAGGAGATATTGTATTAGTAACTCTTAGTTTTTCAAATTAAGTTTTGCCTGGTATGTATTTTTTCCAATATTTTACTTTGAACCTACCTATATTTTCATGTTTAAAGTGAGTTTCTTGTAGTTGGGTCTTGTTTCTGTAACCAATCTGCTATTTTCAGTCTTTTAACTCGTGTATTTAGAACACTTACCTTTAAAGTAACTACTGCCTTGTTAGGGGCTCTGTCAGCCATTTTATTATTTGCTTTTGTGTGTTTCCTCTGTTTCTGATTCTTGTTTCCTTTTATTGCCTTCCCTATAGATTTTTTGAACATGTAAATTAATTTTACTTTAATATGTCTGTAGTAATCTTGAGTGTATCTCTTTGTACAATTTTATTAGGGGTTGCTCTAGGCATGAAGATATACACACGTAACTTATTGCTGCCTATGGGTATTGACATTTTGCCACCTCAAGTTAACTGTGGAAGCTTTACTTCCATTTTAGTCCATTTAGTACCCCACATTCTAAATATAAACGTCTTATGTATTTCCTTTATATACATACAGCACCTTATCAAATAGTGTAATCTTGCAGTCAAATTTAACAAAGTCATTAGGAAAAAGATAGTCTATTATATTTGTTCCTATTATTATCACTTCCCTTGTTTTTTCTGCCTTTCTGAAGTCTCACTCCTCCTTCTGTTATCTTTTGCTTTCTATTTGAAGAATTCCTTTAGCCATTGTTTTAAGTATAAGTCTGCTGGAGGCCAATTCTCTCCGTTTTCCTTCGTCTGGGAGTGCCTTTATTTCTCCCTTTATTCCTAAGGGATAATGCCACTGGATATGGAATAGGAGTTGACAGTTCTTTTCTTCTAGCACTTGAGAAATGTCACTTCTTTCTGGTTCCTTGGTGACAGATGAGAACCACCCTGGCATTTGAATCCTTTTTCCCTGTAGGTTTGCATAATTTCTATCTAGCTGCTTTTGAGATCTTTTCTTTTTCTTTAGTTTAGTTTAGCTTTAGTTTCTTTAGTTTAGCTTTAGTTTAGTTTTCTTTAGTTTCTTTAGTTTTGAGCAGTAGGATTATTATGTATCTTGGCATGAATTTCTTGGTTTTATCTTTTTTAGTATTCACGCATCTTTTTGGATATATAGATTTATGCCTTGTGCCCAATTTGGTAAATATTCAGCCTTAGTTTTTGAATTTTTTTTATCATCTCTGACCTCCTTCTTTTTGCTTCCTTAGTCTTTAACCTTTTGCTATCTTCCCACAGGTCCCTGAAGCTCTGTCTATTTTATTCTTTTCAGTCCATTTTCAAAGCAAGTAATTTGTATTGTTCTACCTTCAAGTTTATTTACCCTTCTGTCATCAGCAATCTAACACTGAGCACATCCAGTAAGGTTATTTTATTCTGTTCTATTTTTTAGTTCTATAATTCCCATTGGATTTTTAAAAGCCATTGTCATTAATTCCAATATCTGTGTCTTCTCAATGCTGTCTTCTCTTGATTATCTTTTCTCTTTGGAGATTTTCCCAGTCCTAGGGACAATGAGTGATTTTCAGTTGTATTCTGAACATTTTGGGTATTATAGCTTGAGACTCTGGATTTTATTGAAATCTTTTATTTATCAGGTCTCCATCACTGACATGCAGTGGTGCCAATTCAGGCCCCCACTTTGCCTCCACTGACACCACAGAAACGCGGAGAGGTGTCTTGTTCCCCACAGAGTGTGGATGGAAGTCCAGGCCCCTCACTTGACCTCTGTTTATGAAGGTGGAGAGTGGGTTGTTCTTAGATTTATTCTATGACGTTTTTCTAGAGTAATGCAGGTGTTGTAAAAATGTTGTGTCTTGGTAGGCTGCTTACTTCCTGAGCTTTAGTCTAAAGAGAGCAGGCTACCCCGGGACTGTATTTTTCCCTGCCTAACTTTGATATCATTTCTGGGTTGCAGACTCTTTCAGTGCTCAGTCCAGGATACATAGAAGGCAAAATGAAACCAAAAGAACTCATTGCACTTTAATTCCTTGAATCCCAAAGTCCCTAAGGTTATTGACTTCCTTGCTACATCTTTCCCAATCTCTTCTGTTGCTTTTTATAATATGTTCAGGATTTTAGCTATACTAAGCAGAAAGAAGAAACAGAAAGCTTTCTAGTTCATCTTGTCCAGAACAGGAAGCCAGCAATTCCCTTTCACTTATGTAAATTTGTAATTCTTGAATCTTATTAAAGGAGTGATGTTTCTCTTACAATAAAAATGTAAATCAATAAAAAAATGACTAGATATCCAATACCACTTCAATATCTTGTTTAAGAACAAGAATCTTTTTTGTTGTCTTAGCTATCCCAACATATCCAGCATATATTCACTAAGAAAAACATTTCTTAATACTGGAATATTGAAAACAGATGTATTGTAATGTTTATGTGTGCTTTCATGGAGAGTGAAAAGAAGGGCTTAAAAATGTGTCTCTCAGTTTAAAGATTAAAATTTCTCAATGAATCATTTCTGTTTCAGAAATCACAAGACTTGTATTACATATTGAGTTATATTTTTATTTTAACCTGTGGTTTTTTGATCTTTCAATAGTTCAAATAATATTTTTTTTAGACCCTAGAGGAAAATGCGGACCCCCTCCACCGATCGACAATGGAGACATTACCACATTCCCATCACCAGCATATCCTCCAGGATCAACAGTTGAGTACCAATGCCAGTCGCTCCACCAACTTCAGGGAAACAGGATTATAACATGTAGGAATGGAGAGTGGACCAAACCACCAAAATGCTTAGGTAAATATTTAGGTATTCTCATGGGTCCTGGGAAAATCAGTGTAAGTAATACGAAGTTTTGCTGCTTACTATAGATTTTCATGGATTGATAACCAACCATTCTGTTGAATGCTTGCTATCAAATAGGAACGTATGAGGCAATAAAGTTTGAGAAATTGTTACTGAAGCAACAACAGCAACAAAACATTCTTTAATGAAAGATTTTCATCTGATGATTGACATTATGAATCTTTGATTATAACCTTTAGTCTCACACATTAAACACAATACCTGATTTTTACATCATTAATTGTGTAAAGTGGTTTAAATCCACATGCTGGATTTTCACTGAGTTGGTTTATAAAAGGTTTTAAGTACGACATCCTGGACAGCACAGGAGATTCAACTTGAGTGAGAATTTTTCTGTACAATATTTATATATCCTTTAATGTGTTTTTTTTTTTTTGGCCTTCAGATTCATGTGTAATATCACTAGAAATGATGGAAAAACATAACATAGAACTACGATGGATGGGGGAGAAAAAGCTTTATTCTGAAACAGGGGATGTTGTTGAATTTGCGTGTAAACCTGGATATCGTAGAAAGACAAATGCCGCAAAATTTCGAACAACCTGTCGGGAAGGAAAACTGGAGTATCCCACCTGTGAAAGACAGAGATTTAACACGCGTTCATAAAATCCTCATGTGTGCATTTATTCAGAATTTGTCATTATTAATCCAATTCTTCTCAAGTCATTCCTTCAAGTATTGTTTAACTCATTTTGGCTCATACATCAGAATTTGTGTTAAATATTATGTAGACAATGTTAGACACTAATGAATCACTTCTAAAAGGACCGCATTAAAACTTGGCTAACCAAAATGCTCTGTGTCCTGTTCATCTAATATCTATGGCCAGAAACTAGATGCAATCACTGCAGTGCCTGCTTCCATCCATCCTTCTCCCAACTTTCTCAAAGCCTCTCCATAACTTCTGAGGCTTTCTGAGACTCTCAATGTCAGAGGAAATGGAAAAAAAAGGCCAGTCACCATCTTCAAAATAATATTACTTCACAAACACGAAAAACCAAACTGTCATACCTATGTTATTAATGATGTAAGTAGCTATTACTTACATTGCTTACTTCTCAATAGATAAATCTGCCAAAAAATGATGAAATGCGTGATCTTCTACAAGACGTCTATGTAGCACACATCATAATTCAAACAAATCATAAAGAGGAATTAGGACCTGTTTGAGTACACAGCTAGCATACCATACGTGCGTATCATTCATAGTGCATATCATACATGAAACATGATAAAGAATCCAGTACCAGGTATAAACACACACACACATACACAGTAGGCTTTGAGCACTGAAAATGTTTATAGAACAAAGATTGCAGGAAGTACAATAAAATAGTACCATAACTAGAGTTGCAGTTGGAGATAATAGGGGTAAGAACTGATTTTTAACTCTTTATAATTTGCTATATGCTCCAATTTTTCTATCTTTTAACACATATCACCTTTGAACCACAAGAGTATGTTGTTTAGAAATAAAGATACAGAAAAAGTAAAACAATACATGGTGAGAACTATAAATAGCTAGTGGTAATGATCTTTAGATCTAACAACTTTTTCATGATTTTGCTGGTATGGAGAGTTGTGGAAACATTCAACCCAAGAGTCCAAAATACGATTTTTATGTTCGGCATTTCAAACAGCATACTTAGTTAAAATCATTTGACTATAAACATTTTTCACTTCTACAAAAACATAAAAACTTGAAGATGATAATAAAGATACAAATAATGAAGGTAAAAATATTTTATGGTGATACCTTGTCACTTTGTATTGCATCAAATCAAGTGGCATTCTTAGACTAGAGACATGGCTGTCACCAATAGAGCCACTTTGTATAAATCTGAATCACTGGTGACAGCCAGTTTTCTCGCATTTAAAGAAACATTGTCACAACTGGCAAGTTATCTCTGCCGTTAATGTTAACATTTGTATATCTACTATTTTTCCAAAACCTTTCAGCTAACAGTTGTGGAACCTGTTTATGACACTTTCCTATAAACAATTATTTCATTGTTGACTGCAAAATAGTGATTTTTAAGATCAATTGTACCATTTGTCTGCCTTTATTAATTGTCATTCTTGTGTGAAGAGGAGTGCTAACTTACCAACTCTGTTTAAATTAAACTTTCACCTAAAGGATTTCGTAAATCTCTATTTTGGCCCTTTAATTCCTAATTTTTGGAATGCAGATTTGATGTATCATGAACTTCCATTATGGTGTTAAAGATGTTTTCTTTTCTTTTTAAAAAAAAAAATATATATATATATATATATATATATATATTTTTGGAGGAAGAATAGCCGTGAGCTAACTACTGCCAATCCTCCTCTTTTTTTCCGAGGAAGACTGGCCCTGAGCTAACATCCGTGCCCAGCTTCCTCTACTCTATATTTGGGACGCCTGCCACACCATGACGTGCCAAGCGGTGCCATGTCCACACCCAGGATTCGAACCAGCGAACCCCGAGCCACCGAGAAGTGGAACGTGCAAACTTAACCGCTGTGCCACCGGGCCGGCCCCGTTTTTTAAAAATATTGTGTGGGTGGATTCCGCATGAAATCAGCATGGATTCATGAATTTTTATTTATTAAATTTGTCACAATCAATTATAGACATTATTCTATTGAAGCTCAAATTATCTCACATTTGGCAAGTGGGGACCTCTTGAAACTGGCTCCTGATGGCTTTCGTTGTATCCCCGTTAGTCCTTGAGTATTTCTCTTCATTTTAGCACAACACGATGTTCCAGGCTCACTGTGCACTTCCCCGCCCGACATCCATAATCTTATGTCTTTCCAAGAAGGTCAGAAATTTTTTTTTCTGGACAATAGTGTTTAGAACCTAAGAATTGTGCTGTTGCTGCTAGATGGATGTTCAATAGTGTTGAAAAGCTTTTATTTCCAGGATATTTTTGTTCTCAAACCTTTGAAATAGAAGTCAAATTTAAAATTCATTAGTTCCTACTGGATTTTACAATTCAATTAAATAATAGGGAGTTTAGAAACTTTTTAGTATATAACTTCTCTTTACTAATATATTTTTATTTTTCAATATTCATGAAAATAATATCACATGTGTAATGGAAACATTACAATTAGCGGTTAACCAGTGAATGAAGGTTCCAACCTCTGTGCATTTACTTTATCCCAGGAGGTCTGACTGTATCAGCACCCACTTCAAAAAAGACTGGAAACAATTCTTATCTCTAGCGGCTCGCTTACCAAATAAATAGTTTTACACTTAATTCTATTAGCATTTTTTTAAATACGAAATTTTCCTTCTCTCTCTTTTAATCTAACCTTTTTTTGTTTTGAATGTGCGATGCACCTACACGCTTTAGAAATCAAAGTGATACAAGAAGGGTCTATGCAGATTAGTCTCACTTCCATCACACCTGTTCCCACATTTTAAAAAGCTATAATTTTTTCAGTTTCTGACATCCCTCCTGTGTTTGTTAATCCTTTTTAATTGAGAACAGAGGTTACTTTACGCTTTGTCTGGACCTTGCAGTTTTCCTTTGAGAATGTATCTCACTCAGATGATTCTATTTTACTATGACAGATAAAGGATGATATAATGAACACACTCGGGGGGACCTCATTTAAGGATACGTTGCTGGAAGTGAAATGAATGGATCACTGGGCGAATGTATTTGTAAATTTCTTAGATATTTTAAATCCTTTTCGATACAGTTGTTGTATGTTATTCTGTAATGTTCTAGAGAGCATCTTTTCCTTGGCCTTGCCAAGCGAGGGTGCTGTCAACCTTTTGGATATATTTCCTGCTTTGCAGATAATAAATGGTGCCCCTGTGTAGTATTCATGTGTATCTTATTATTATGAATGTGCTTATTTTCATTTAAGATACGTAAGGACCATTTGTTTTGTTTTGTTCTTTAATCTTAATTTTTGATTAAGCCACTAGACCTTTTTTCCTATTATTATTTTCTATAGAAATAATGAGATTAGCACTTTTAATTTCTCATTTCTCTGATATGAATTAGATATATTCTCCAATATGTTATTTGGCTTTTAAGTTCATGTTGATTTTTCTAGGGGGAAGTTTTTTAATTATATGCACTTATAATTATCAGTCATTTTTTTGTTTCCTCAAATTCTAAGTCATAGATTTACATGTCTTATTCTTAACAAATGCCATCATTGTTTTTCTTTTGAATGTGTGTGGGGTTTTTCTTACTTGGAGATCACTAAAATTAAAAATGACATGGAAGTATGGATATATTTTATTTTTTTAATGACTCTCCAGTAGTCTCAACTGTATTTATTAAAAGCACTGTAGTTTTCCTAGTCATTTGAGGTGTGACTTTAAGCATATAAGAATTTTTGTGGGCATGTGTCTCTTTTCATAATTTCTGTTCTAATCCACTTCCTGTCTATTCTTGTACCAACACCAACTCTATAATCTTAAAGACTTCTTAGAAGAGATATGCACTGGGATGAGCCATCATCTATTTTTTTCTCTTTTGTTTTTTGAGATTTCCTGTCTGTTGTTATTATCCCGAGACACTTTAGAATGAACTTGTCTGACTCCAAAATAAAAGCTGCAGGTATTTGCATGGCCCACTCTACTGGAAGGTCAGTGGTGGGCTTTATTTCAGACATTCATACTAACAGGAAACCAATAGGCCATTCTGGCAAAAGTTATCTCAGATTTTCTGAAAGACTAGGGGCAGAAGATACAGCACCTCATGAAGCACAGCACCAGGAGTCCTCGCAGCCATCCAGGTCTATGCAGCCTCTACCCCAGGTGACACCTTAGTAAGAAGGAAATGATATCCCTGTGTCAGTGAGGGTGTCATCTGGACTTGGACTCTTCAGTTCCACAGGGGTCCATATCTTTCAAAGGAGAACTTGAGCAGAGCCCAGACCTGGCAAGGGAGTCGATACATCAATCACAAGACTCAAAAACCCCAAAGCTCTGGCTGTCCCCCGGGTGTTATCAATCTGTGCCTGGTTCCTGCTAACACAGATGACATTTCTTGTTTCCTAGATTTCCAGGGAAATAGTATTAGAAGAAGGTAAACTCTGAGTTATTTTCCAATAAAAAATGAAGAAAAGGATTTATGTAAACTTTCTCAGAGTAAACTTATGGGTTGTACAGATGTGTGTATAAACTTAAGAATTATTGACACAATGCTGTGGAGGCTTCTTACTGAAGAATTTACATTTTTCTTTCTCTGCAAGTGTAAAGTTGCATTCTTTAAGAAGAATGTTATATTGTTGTCCTCAGATATCCTTTGTATGCTTCTGAGGAGCAGCCAGAATCAGCACATTGGTTCCCTGACCACTGGAATGAGGGCTATTAGGTTGGGAAAGTAAAAGCCAGTAGAACTGCCTCTACCTAGTGAAATAGTAAAGCAACAGCAGTGCTGCATTCCTGGAGGGACTGCAGAGATGACGCCACCACCAAGGATCTGACAGATGCAGGGGCGGTGGTTCATACCACGTCCCCACCAACTTGACTATTTGGCTGGTGTAGAAAATGGATGGATCTTTGAGAAAGACAGCGGATTACTGTAAGCTGAACCAGATTTTGAGTCCAACTGTAGCTGCTTTACCAGATGTTTCTTCATTGCTTGAACAAATGATCACATCTCCTGCACTATGTTAGAACATGCTGGTGTGCCGCTATTCATCTGGAAAATGCTTTTTGCTCCATCCTTGTTAGTAAACACCAGCAGAAACAATTTTCTTTCTGTTGGCAAGTTCCTCAAAACACCTGCTTAGTCCTACATCAGGAGTACATGAATTCTGCAGTCCTATGTCATAACC